CAGCAGCTCTCGGTCGTCGTCATCCGGGGGGTCCTCGTCCAGTGATTCGAGTCATCCCACAGCATCTTCGTCTCCTGTGAGTGCCGAAAGGCCAGATCAGGGTGATTCTGCTTCGGGAGAGGCGTCTACCAGTGGGAATGAAGAGGTTGAGAAAAAACCAAAGCGGGCATCGAATCGTCAACGATACGGTCCATCCGAACTACCTGGATACGAATGGGTAAACGGGGAGGTAACTTCCTACTACTCTCGGTACCGAGACACAGACATGATCACGAGACTATTGGATTACACTAACTGTCTGAACTTCGATGCCACCGAGAATCCCTACCCAATTGGGGTTCGGTCATGCCGAAACAATGCGTCTCCAAATCCCGACATGGTCTGCCTTGATCAAAGTGGTGCTAGAATGGAGTCATTTTATATATATGACTGCCTTCTTCGGGATCTTAAAGTGAAACTGCCGTTTGATGAGTTTACCATGGGAGTACTAAAGATTTTAAACGTTGCACCCACGCAATTGCACCCGAACAGTTGGGCACAGTTACAAGGTTTCAAACACTTGTGTAAGTGTCTTGATATTAAGCTTTCTCCCCTCCTTTTCCTGTATTTCTATTCGTCTCGGCCTACCATATTAGCGAAGTGGCACTCCTTAAGCCGAGTGAGTGACCGACTATTATTGGATAGCTTCACTTCTTCGTATAAAAATTTCAAGGCAGGATTTTTCCGAGTGATTATCCGGCCGAATGGGAGGCGGTTCTTCTTTGATAAGGACGAAAGGCCTTTATTTCCATTGTACTGGACGCGCACCCCTCGGCCTTATGACGTCGTACCAAAAAAAATGCTGACAGCCGAAGAGCGAACAGACCTCAAGTTACTGCTTCGTCTTCCTCGGCGTTTGCCGATCAGGTCTTTAATCAACGTGGTTGAATCCCCTCGTTGGTGGAATGACTTGATAGGTATGTTATCCGTCCTAATTCAACTGTAAACTTAATTCCTATTGATGTTTTACATAATCCTTTTTGCAGGAATCATGGTTACCAGTGGTGCTGACGAGCTAAATATTCGTAATCTGCTTGCTGCTCGGGTGAAGCAAGTTCGGCAATCCGGAGGGGTGGGAACTTCTACCGTTGCACACTCCCCTCGACCGTCCAATGATGACCGACTGCCTCCTCATCCGGAACGCAAGAAGAAGAAAGAAAAGAAAGGGAAAGATTCCGGTCGGGAGCATACAAAGAGAAAGAACTCCGAGGAACGTCAAGACCAAGCTAAAAAGGCCAAATCAACGCCTATAGCTTCGCCTAACCGAACCGTGATTGTGGTGCCGCCACCGCTGATGTCTCGGGCCTTTCTGAGTGATGATGCTCCGGCCGAGACAGTGATTCGGCCTGACATGGTGTCTCCATTCGGGCAGGAATTTTTGGCTACTTTGGACACGAAGGCCAAATGGAGGCTTTTTTGCGAGGTACAAACTCGTTCATTGGCCTTAGCCCACCATCTAGCCATGGAGCCTGTCGGCGAGGTGGTACATTTGAAGCAAAGTTTGGAGGAAGCCGAGAAGATTGCAGCCGAGGCAATGACAGCTAATGAACAAATATTAGCTAAAAATCGGGAGCTAGCAGCTGAGCTGGATGTTGCTCGGCGAGACAATGATACTCTTCGTCTAGACCTCCAAAAAGCAGCTAACGAGGAGCGTCGCCGAGTGGAGGAAGCTCAAGCTGCGTATGACAATCTTAAAGAGCAAGCAAAAGAAAAAATTGTTGCTCAACATGAAGCTGGTTTCAAACACGCCGTTCGGCAGGCCAAGCACTTCGGCCAATTTCCTGAGGATTTTGAGTTCGACATGACTCAAGATTTTTACCAAGGATCTCTCGTGTCATTTGCTGATATGCCCGAAGGGGCGAATCCTGACGACGAGGAGCCGAATGATGCCCCCCAAGCCACAGATGTTCATACTTCATCTGGTGATGAAGATGAAGAAATTGTCAATCCTCACCCCGAGGGGGAAACGGAGGCCCCCGCCCAGAATGATCCAGTAAGCAACACTGATGAGTAATGTTAGGATTCTAATTCTTGTAGCAAGGGGGCCGATAGAGCCTCCACTCTTTGAATGAAGTAATATTTTCACTTTTGAAACTTGTCATCTTGAATTGTTACTGATCTGCATGGATATTTAATTTTCTGAGCCGATAAATATTTTTATGTTACCGACTGATTGAACCGATGCAATTGTAAAACTTAACTTGAGCAAAATTAAGAGAACACTTGTGAATTTATTTGCTTATCGTTCAAGACCGGGTGGATTCACTCGGAATTGCTTATTTTGTGAACAATACCGAATGGATTCAATTGGAGTTACTTATTTTTTGAGCAAAACCGAATGGGTTCATCCGGAAATGCTTGCTTTTTGAGCAATGCCGAACGGGTTCGTTCGGAATTGCTTGCTTTTTGAGCAATGCCGAACGGGTCCGTTCGGGATTGCTTGCTTTTTCAGCAATTTCGAACGGGTTCGTTCGGGATTGCTTGCTTTTTGAGCAATTCCGAACGGGTTCGTTCGGATCATACCAGCCCAATAACATCTAAAAGAAATCTCATTGTTTCCTAGCAGAAAGTACACCTTTTTTTAAAAAAAAAATCTTAAAATATATTTAATTTTTTATTTTTTATTTTTTTACATACATCTTTCTCTTTCTTTGTTTGGCTCATGATTGATATATATATATAGTATACCTCCTTTTCTTTTTTTAATAAAAATAAATTCTTAAAATATCATGAACATAAAAAAATAAGGAGAAAATTATAAAG